ACTGGAAATGCGAGCAGTATAGTGTAATAGAGCTCTGGGTCAAAAAGAAGAGAACCTGATCCTTGTACTCATGGAGAAAGGCAATGGTTACTACATTCAGAAAACATGAATAAAAAGAAAAAGCACTTAAAATGTATAGCTAGCTATTTAAATATTCCTCTGGCTAGTCATACTACAATGCAAATAATCATCCTCCAACCAATCCTAGTATAAATCTTGAGTTTCCTAAGACAAGCCTGTTTAAAGCCAGGGATATTATACATATTTATGCTTAAAATGAAAACATTAAATAGTTATTTTTTTATTTCATAAGGGAAGAAAAAAGGGTAATGTAAAAAGCATCAACTGAAACCAAGTTTTATTCATTAGGAGGTCATAAACTTTCTGTAAAGAATCAGCTGGTAAATACTTTAGTCTTCTGTGAGCTCTATGGGCCTCATGTTGGTTTCTGTTACTCTTTTCCTTTTTCCCTTCTCTTTTCTCTTTGTCTCTCCTTTCAGATCATTCCTGTCCTATGAAAATGTAAAAATTATTCCTTACCTAAAAATGCACAAAAATAGGGTAGACTGTGATCACTTACTGTTTTGCTTAAGTACACTTTACTTCCATAATCATTGAAAATAGTATAACCCCCAGTGCTATATTGTATGTTAAAAAAAGGAATGCCTAGATTTGAGTCCTGCTCCTCCTGTCTGATACAGGTTCTGTGACTTGGGCAAGTTATTCAACTATGGGGATGCTTAGCTTCATATTATGTGATAACAAAGCCAGTACTACCTGACTGGTTATGGTTGTCTGGATTTGTATGTGGAAAGCACTTTACTTTACCCAGTGATTATCACATAATAGAACTACAGCCTGAGGTTTCTTTCTTCTCTGCCTTTTTTTTGTTCTAGTATTTTCTTTTCCTTTCTTTGAATTATTTCTGCAAAATTTTAGAGACTGTGTCTCTACTAAGCTATCAAATTATCTTAGTAGAGTGCTTTTTAACCTAATTTGAATTGAATTAATTTAACATCTTGATTACTTGCTACAGATTATTGACTTCCTCTTAGATCAAGTCTCTACCCACTCTTCAGAAGTACCTCATAGTCTGTATTTTCAAAATATATTGATAAGATGGGCTCTCTGGCACAGTAGTTAAGCACTGCACAGAGTAAACCGGATTCCACATGGCAGACTAGGATTTGAGTCCTTGCCCCAGGGTCTTAAAAAGCAGTGCGCATACATGCGTGTGTCCAGGATCCTGAAAGGATAGAAAATTGGAGAAAAAAGATTGCATTGTAACAAGACCCCATTGGGGCATGCATGCTCACTCTGGTGCTTTCTCATTAACATGCTTTCAGCTATGCATGCCGCTTCTGGTGGTAGATAGTTGCATGCATGCATGAAAACTCATGAGGGTTTCAGAGAAATTTTCCTGGAATTCTGTAAAGAATATATGTGTATATGTATATATAGATATATATAGATTCTAAAGAATCTGTGAACCACATGCTAAACTAGTAGCTAAAAATACAACCTGAAGGGGTCAGATAGTGCAGTGTCAACACAACTGGACCCACATAGCAAAGTCCCAGGTTCATGTCCCAGGCTTCCCTGTATACTATATACTCTGGGTGTGTGTACATGGCCATGATCAAGGCTAACTGATGCTGGGGGTAAATTACAGCATGAAGACCCAGAGGGGGCTGCCTCTGTCTCTTTCTCTCTCTCTTTCTCTCTCTCTCTCTCTCTCTCTCAGGAAAAATAAACTTTAAAAGAGGGGAAAAAAGATATATATGGGCTGGGGATGGATAGTTGTCCATTTTGCTAAAGGACTCTACAATTTTTTTTTTTCAGTAACCTTTCATGGTTATTTGAATTCTACCTGTAACTCTCTATTAAGACCATGAAGAGAATTCTCATTGGCTGGATAATATCTAGTATTTTTTTTAATAATTATTTATTTAATTTTATTTAGTCATTAATTTATTTTAATTTGACCAGAGAGATACACAGAGAGAAAGAGAGGGAAAGTGAGAAAGCAAGCCACCAGGTTCGGTATTTGAACCGCAGTTGGCCATGTGGGAGTGTTCAGCACCTTAACCACCACGCCACCTACTGGTCCCCAATAATATCTAGTATTGTTGAGAGATTTATTTCTTTAGAGTGCATGTTCCTTGCTTCAACCATGCATGTTTTATGTAAATCACTTTTATATCTGTGATATACATTGACCAGCAGTTGTTAATGTGTATCTTCTGTACTGTGGTGTTTGTTCTTCTGTTCATAGTAGATATAAATCCTTCACTGTTCTTCAAAATTCAAGCAACCTGGCACAACCCTAAGGCCTCTAGCCTTAATGACTAATGTAGCCTTAATATTTATCTCAGCTTTACTACACTTTTTTGGAGGGTGTGGGGGGGAGTAGGCGTTTTTGCCTTAGAGTGTGTATACCCACCAGAAAGAGACAGAGACAGTGCGAGGAAAAGTAAAAAGTCACCCCCTGGGGGTGGCTATGCCGCAATCCTCTCTTCTTTATTCGCTTCTCAGGATCTTGGGCACACTCACACCTGACATGAGTTTGAAACCACCAGGTCCAGGACTCAAACCTGGTTCAGTTTTGTGGGAGTCCAGCGATGTATCCGCAATGCTATCTGCTGGCCCCTTTTGCTACACTTTTGACAGGTTCCTTTCTGATTTTAGGCCTCTGACCAATGAAGTTGGATTTAGTCTCTCTCCCCTTTTGTAGTAGTCTCGGATAAGGTCTTCCTTATCTGTATAACATGTCTGGTACAATTTGACTGTGATTGAGAGTGAAGGCTCTGGGGTCAGAACTGCTGTACAATCCTGGCTTCATTTTACTACACGTCATATAACCTCACTAAGCTTCAGTTTCCATATGAATTAAATGGAAATAATGGTACCTACCTGTAGAACCTCTGTGAGGATGGCATGGGTCAGTGCTAAAGCACTTAGCACATTATATACACTATATACGCCATGGTGTACATATATACGCCATGAAAGTCAGTTCTTACTTTTTGGGCTAATGACTACAAGTAAAGCTTCTTGATAGCTCTTTTGTGAAACAGTGCACTGCTCTAGTATGTTAAAATATGACTCCATTGAATGAATTACCAGTGTGTATTTTCCTGGGATGTACTGTAGAGTAAAGTCTATTTATTTAGTTCTTGAAATATATATATATATATATTTTTTTTTTTTTTTTAAGAAGTTTTTGCTATAGGGTCCGTGTGCTTGCCAGAAAGACAGAGAGAGACAGAAAGGGAGAAATCACCTGCCGCGGAGATGGCCTCACCGCAATCCCTTCTCCTCTATTCTCCTCTCCGGATCTTGGGCATGCACACACACGTACCTGGCGTGAATTTAAGCCACAGGGTCTGGGACTCGAATCATGGTCTACTACATGGGAGTCCAGCGATGTAGCCTTTACACCAACTGCTAGTCCCATTGAAATGAATTTTTTTTTAAATGCATCTGAAATAGTAAAAGCAAGTAACCAGTTATGTTTCTGATCCTAAAGTGTCCATTTAGTTAGGTAGGAGAGATCAGTTACTTCTTTTTTTTTTATTTTAAGAGGTTTTTTTTTTTTCCTCCTTTGGGCACTTGCACTTGCTGGAGAGAGACCATCCCCAGAGGGGATGGCCAGCCCACAATCCCTTCTCCTCTGTTCTCTTCCAGGGATTTTGGACTCACACGCACACATACCTAGCATGAGGTTCAAGCCACTGGATCAGGTACTCGATCTGTGGTCAGCCATGTGGGAGTCCAGTGACGTAACCACTATGCCATCTCTTGGCCCTGAGATCAGTTACTTATGAGGCTGTGTCAACAGCATCTGTTGAGAAACAAGCTCAGCCATTTGTTTTCAATCTAGCAGGTTATTCCCACAAATGAAGAAAACTCTGCTGTTTGTAAAGTTTAAAATAATTTACTTAGGTTCTCCTGAAACTAAAAACGTAAAGGAACTAAAATTCAAATACTAAGTTTTCTCTTAATATATTGCATTTTTAAATGCGGGTTATATTACAGCAATCTATTATCTTGAAATTATATTATGAAACATCACCCATATCCTTAAATGCACACACACACACACACACACACACACACACACACCAATATATCTTAATATCTTAAAGTATTGAAACTGCATTCTTAAATATTGAAACTTGGAAGTATGGTAACATATAGATGGAAACTACTGTGTTCTGACTACATATCACAATAAATGACTAATCAAAACAGTTCTTCATTCGGTGTATACTGTATCTGTAAAATTACTCCTCTCCCTTCTCTCTCCAAAAGTAATCTGAGAAAAATTCTCTTGAATTGCTGTCTGACTTTTAGCAATCTCTATTCTGTTTGGAGACCTTGCTTGCCATTCTGACTAACTTACAAAGGTTAACAGTGATAATATAGATTGGACTAAAAGGCCAAAAGTTCTGTGTTGATGTTCCATTCTTAAATACAGAGACAACATGATGGTGTTTTTATTTTGTTTTGGCTTGGTTTTAGTCATTAACTCATACAGTCTATTTGGCATTTGTATGCTTATGTTAATGGAAACTCTTATTAGATTTATAGAATGTCTGCTATCATCTCCACTCCCTGCTTGAAACAGTTTTATGTTTCAGGAAGGGGTTACAAGACAAGGCAGAGCCTCATAAGCCATGTGAACATAGATAAGAAGACATGTTTTGGTTTATGATGTCTACATACCCTCTTGGAGGGAAGGGAATGTAGGAGCAAAATAAAATGAGTAAAAATCAAAGTGAACTCAGAAATAAGATATGCCAATGATGAAGTAAAGATTTAAGTTGGATAGTTGTTATGGCCCCCAGTTGTATATAGTTTATCCTAAGACACCATTTGGTTTAATAAAATATAGATCCAAGGCTGTTCTTAACCTATCATTTTCTAAAGGCTTAATTACAAAGGTTATATTTTCAGAGGACAAAAACATTATTCATTTGTCTGTTCATGTCTTTCAGGTTTATCTTGCGGATTATGGACTTTCTTACAGATATTGTCCTAATGGGAACCACAAACAGTATCAGGAAAATCCTAGAAAAGGCCATAATGGGACAATAGAGTTTACCAGCTTGGATGCCCACAAGGGAGTAGGTGAGTTTCTTTCTCTTATTTTTATTTTAGAAGAATGAGTAGAGTCAGGAGTAATAAACGAACTTTGCGTAGTTAAATTTGAAGAGTGAGAGCACTGGTGAGATTTCTAATCAAAAGTAGTTTCTGTTATGTTAATAAATATTTCTCTTTTTTTTTAAAAAAAGGATTATTTTATTTAACTTTATTTATTTTAATTTACTAGAGAGGGACATAGTGAGTGAGAGAGAGAGAAGGAAAGTGAGAAAGCAAACCTCCAGGTCTGGGACTCAAACCGATGTTGGCTATGTGAAAATTCAGTGCCCTTAACCACAATGCCACCTGATGGCCCCAATGAATATTTCTTTTAATAGTGATAGAGTATAATAGACTATGACAAGCGAGAAGAAACAAAGGGGTTATAAGTAAGTAAAATCCGTCCTCATTTTGACCAGAACATTACCACTTTATAGAGGTTAAACTTAGAGACTGGCATGGCATTTTTATTCTGTGGCAGATATTACAGATGTGGTAAGGGACCATGTGAACAGTTATTACTATTCTTTCATTGTAGTATAATCAGAGCTTTAGATGACAAGCTCTCAACAATAAGCATATTTTTCCTAAAACTGTAAAGTGTTAACTTGTGGAAATCTCTCCTAGTCGCCTTTCATATATCTTACTTATTTAAACTCACTTTGATGGTATTGGAAACACATTTGCAGGTAAATTACATACATAGTCCTTTTATTGGATATTGATTATACTGCCTTGCATTCCAAGGCAGACTTAATTCAACAATTCCCTAATTAGTTAAAGTCATAACCTATGTCTTGTATTCATTTACCATTAATTAAACCTTAGCTGTTTATTACACTGCAGTCCAAATCCAATAGCCAGCCCAGAAAGCCATGGAAAAGGAAGTAGGAGGTCAATATTGAAAATATATGGTGTGGAGTCCCACTGATGGTTGCTTTGTTCACAATCAATATGGTCAATGCAACTGTACTTTCTTAGTTGCTCTGTCAGCAAGACAAAAAGTCAATTCTAATGTTATGCTAGTAAAAAAATTGTGATTATTGAAAGACTTTGGCTTTTAAAAATTATATTCTTTGTAAACTTCTTTTATACAAGTATTTTCAAATACACTAAACCAAACAGATAATTTTGACAGCTTTTACAGGACCACATATTTATTAAAAGACAGTTAGATATTTGCACTTGTTAATGATTGTTGAACTGTTACCCTAAACTGATACATTGTAAGGAGTTTTAGTTGGCACAAACAACTATATATTATTGCCTTTTCTATTAAAAGGACCATTGACCATGTAATGTAGAGGGTCTTGATCATTTTCCAGAGCAATTAAAACCCACACTAGTTTAAGGTAGGTCAGTGAAAAAGTGAAGCCAAGTGTGTCGGTTGTATACCTTTTAAAAAGAAAAATAGGTTATATTTTGGAAATCAGTTTTTCTATTCCTGATCAAACTAAAAGAAAACATTACATTTTTTAAAAGTATAGTTTGATTAGAAAAAGTAATATTCACTCAGAAATTTAGTTGTGTTGTATAAATTTTCACCATTTATATTGTTAATTAATGAGCATTTAAAATAAAATGGGATGTGGCTTGAATCAAGCAATGGAAGGATGGGGGGACAGCAGGCAGGTGGTGATTAAGGTGCTGGACTTCTACATGGTGGACCATAGTTGGAGTCTCGAACCCATGGCTTGAAAATCAGCCAAGTACATGTGCACACATTCTCAAAATCCCAAGATGAGAATGGAGGAGAAGGGACTGCAGCATGGCTATCCCCTAGAGGAGATGATTTCTCACTTTTCCTCTCTCTGTCTCTCTCTGGCAAATGTACATGCCCTGGTGTCAAAAACCTAAAAAAAAAAAAAAAAGAAAGAAAGAGAGATGTAAGGATCAAATGGGCATTGATATCTTTTTTCCACTTAGAGTCCTTTCAGTCTTCTTGAATTTAATTCTTCATCTTTCCCAGATTTATTCTGTTATTTGTAGCATTGAGTATTAAAATGGCCAAGGTACCATTGTGATGGTACAAGGTGAAGTAGAGTTGTTACCTGGTGGCCTACTCAATGTTGGGACTGTTACAATCTGAAACTTTCTTTCAGTTAACTCAAGGTGGTATTTTCGTTGTTCTGTCTTCATGAAAGTGTGCAACAAGTGTTTACTCTATAGTCTATGTAAATATTTTTCTTCCCTAAATCATAATACATGTTGATGAGCTAGGGAGATTTCACCTTCATCTTTGAGAAGATCAGACTGCAATGATCATAGAAATATGGTATCATACCTTAGAAGGTATATTCAGGGAAGAGCCTACATTAAATTTTTTTTTGATATTTGCTGGAAATCTGTATGCTGGAATGAATGTTTATCTTTATTACAGCTTTCTCAGGATTCCCATAAAATAGTTGATTTCCTTAATGCATTGTAAATAAGATTTACACTGAACTTACAGGTATATCTGTATATTTTCTGCACACAGAAATATATACACACATACACACACATATATATACACATATATAGATACATGCTTACATGTGTGTATTCAAAATTTTAATATAGTAGTTTTAGTCTGGTATGTGAAATGGAAGGTCTGATATCCTCAAATGTTTGAATACTATTCATTTTTAATGTTTTTGCATTTAATTTTCTAAAACGAAACATTTTAGGATTTCATTAGAAATGAAATAATCATTTAACCATATCAAGGAGCCAGAATAAACAGGTCCATAAATCGTATAAATAAATGCAGAAGGTCAGATTCATAAATATTCCTGTGTTTACATTTAGTACCATCACTGTGTAGTTTAATCTTAGAAAAAATCTTTTCTATACCAGTCCAGCTATGAGATCAAATAGTTACTAAGAAAAGATAATGCAAAAGAAAGCATAAAGAATGAAAAGAGTTTCCACTAGAAAATAGAATTTCCAGTTGCCAAAGTATTTACTATGTGCCAAGTATATCTATATCTGGTCAGACCAAGGGAAATATTCAGGCCTCACTGCAAAACTGACTTATGAATTCATTGCTCAATCGATACTATTAGTCTGATCAGCTATCTGGTCTCTGCTACTTTTTGTAGTAGTTATTTAGAAATGAAACTATATCACATTTTTCTAAGAATTGAGCTACTTATATAAAATGCCAGTCAGACACATGTTTGCTAATTCAACTTTATGTAAAAGGAGGGCGGTTGAAAGGGAAAGGAGAAAAAAGAAAACATTTTAAGCTATTAACTTGTACATTACAAATGAAAAAGATTCATAGCAATAAATAGATATGGATGGACAGATAACTATTCTTAGAACTATCATACATCTATATATCTGTATGCTTTTTTTCAAAAATTATGGTTAGTCTTTCAAATTCAATTCTCTTGTGTGGCCTGAAGGTATTTTTCTAAGTGGCTGAAGGGCTTCATTTAGTATAAAATTAGAGTAATGTATGTTGGGCTTGTTTCTTTTATTATTAATATTTTATTCTTCATAAAAACTATCATGTATAAACATTGACATGTTTGGGGCTTATTGCTTGATAATTAAAGAGAATTATATCTGTGTCAAATATACTATTTTAAAATTTGTTACATTCTTAGTAATGTTAGAAAGCAATATTTGGATCAATGTGTAGTATGGATTTTTGCAGATTTTTCCACTCACTGAGGCATGCAGTCAATACCTAATTTCTCTGGAGATATACTGCATTTAACATATTGAGCTTTTTTAAATACTTCAGACCTATGCATTGAGTTTATAATACCTGTTTTAATTTGACATCATTGATGACCATAAAATATGATATCTAAATTGCATTTTAAATGCCCATTTGTTTGTGTAATGTATTCAGTATCAAAGAAACAAATATACTACATTTTAATTTTTGCCAGTTGCTACAGTATAGAAATCCAACTCTTGTGTTATTTCTTGCATAGTTTCATTTCACTCTAATCCAGCACTTCAGTTTAGAAAGTATATGTGAACTAAGCTGAGAATGTATTTTCATAATACTAAACTTGGGAAAATGACATGATTTTACACAATATGAATCTTTTTTTTTTTTTTTTTTTTTGGAGAGATTTTCACTGTAGGGCGCATACGCTCGCCAGACAGACAGAGAGAGACATAGAGACAGAAAGCGAGAAATCACCCCCCAGGGGGGATGGTCATGCCGCAATCCCTTCTCCTCCATTCTCCTCTCGGGATCTTGGGCACGCACGCACGCACACGTGCCCGGCGTGAGTTTTAAGCCACCGGGTCTGGGACACGAACCACGGTCGACTACGTGGGAGTCCAGCGACATAGCCATTACGCTAACTGCTGGTTCCCCACAATATGAATCTTAAAAGTAATTCAAAAATAACTCATTTTCCAATTATGATAAGATACTAAGGTAAACCACCAAATTATTAAATGTTCTCTTGGATATATTAGAATAATAAACTGTTGATTTCTTCTTTTGGGTAAATTTGACTGCTAAAAACAGTCTTCACTTAGTGTATTAAGTAAACAGTGAGAACTATTCCATGTAGCATGTACCCACTTTTTAGATTTAGACATGACTTTTAAAGTCTTAACATATGTCTTGACTTTTTAGCTGAGCTATTTGGATAGCTTAAGAATACACATTGGCCAAATGTAAGATACCTTTGCTCTATTACCATAACTTGACAATTTAAGTTTTAAAAAAAATTCTAGGGCTTAGAATTTAAAAGGTACTGACAGCATAAGAGACCTGTTTATTTGAAATACGACACATTGCATTCTGCTTTCCTAATATATACTTTTTGAAATAACAGTAAATCATGGTCACCATAACATTTTTCGGTTTTATTAACACATTCAAATTGATGAAATACTAAATTACAATACGTTATAAGTTAGAAAACTAAAGAAAAAAATCATAAAATAGTCTGTATTCACTTCATCAGGTAAGCATTTTATTCAGATATTTTCTGCTTTCTTATTGCCATTTCTGAATACATACACTAATATTTTGGGCATTTAAACCTTGTGTGCTTGAGGCATAGGTTTTCAAGTTCACTTTATTATTTCCCACCAAACCCTGTTTGTTTGTTTTTCTTTCCCTTTTTTTTTCATACTCCATAATGCTATTCTATAGAAGAAATAAACTGGAAAAAATTTGAGGCAAATTGATCATTTGGGGATTAACAAATAGGCTTCTCTTCTACCAATTTCTCGTTCATTCCTGTTGATAAATTGGGACTGTTACTTTTACTCCAGTTTGTCCTTAGGATAAAGACTAGTTATCTAAGGTAACTTCTCTGGTGTTCTTGTATCACCTTGGAAGGAACATATAACATTTTATAAATAAATCCTCTAACTAAAGGCTCTTCTTTATCAGATAAGAATGAAATAGTTCAAAGCAATCATTTTGTAAAAGATGGTTGTGTGACATTTTGTTAGTGATGCAGTTTAGACCTCCAGATCTGCTTCTTGTTTTTTCCTTGCCAATACACTCTCTTTGTGTCAGTATGTGTTTTAAAATGTATGCTTGAAATATTTCCCCAACTGTAAATCTAGTATATGTCTAATGTTGTCTGAATGGTGTCACAACTAACTAAGGGAGACAAATTAATTATTAGATTGAGCCTAGGCTTTGGATTCTGAAAGACTTAGATTTCAGTGCAGAACTTTGTTATTTTTGTTTTGTGATTATTAAGGAAGTTATTTAACCTTTTTGAACTTCTGATTTCCTGTTCATCAGCTAGGTTACTAGTACTTAACTGTATATTGTTCAAATGACTAAGTCAGATATTAATAAAGAGAATGTGTCTGGCACAATAGCAGTTCTCCACAAATCGCATCAAATGTTCTTATGTTAATTAGGTATTCTACTGTCAGCTGTTTCTGGAATCTGCTTTTATTTTTTTAGAGAGAGAGATTTTTATTATAGGGCACATGTACTTGCTGTAGAAACAGAGATACAGAGAGTGAAAAATCATCCCCCCTGGGGCAGGGGAAGGCAGTGGGGAGGTGGGAAATGGTCATGCTGCAGTCCCATCTCTTCTGTTCTCCCCTTGGGATTTTGGGCCTATACACACATGCACCCAGCATGAGTTTTAAACCTCCAAGTTCAGGACTCAAACCACTGTCAACTATGTGGGAGTCCAGTGACGTAACCATTATGCCATCTGCTGGTCCCATCTGGAATCTGCTTCTTAGAGAAGTAGAATTCAAAGCCCCAGGGACCAGCAGTTGGCATAATGGCTATGTCACTGGACTCCCATGTAGTCAAACTGTGGTTCTAGTCCCAGATCCGGTGGCTGAAACTCAAGCCGGGCACATGTGCGTGCATGCTCAAGATCCTGAGAGGAGAATGGAGGAGAAGGGATTGCAGAGTGGCCATCCCCCCTGGAGCATGATTTCTTGCTTTCTGTCTCTGTATCTCTCTGTCTTTCTGGTGAGCACATGCACACCATAACAAAAAAAAAAAAAAAAAAACCCTTTTAAAAAAAAATAATTCAAAGCCTCACCTGTGCCTTTTTAAAAAAATGATTACTCTTGGCAATAATGTAGACATTTTGTACAATTTAAAACACTACATATTTTCAACAAAAAAGTAATTTATATTGCTCTATATCAGTAATAAAAATTAAATGTTAAACAATATTTTTAAACTTTCTTGATAAAGTTTAGCAGAAAAATTTTATTAGTTACTATGTGTCACTACAGTTCCAAGCACCAGTAAATATGAGGTTGATTTGGGGAGGGGGAGAATCTATATGAGAACATACTGTTAATGATTATGCTAATTACCAAATACAACCGAAAACCTAACAGACTACAATAAATTACACAAATATATGATTCAGGAAACAAGTTCCATTCAGAAAAAAAAAGTCGCATAATATATTTTCTACCTAAATGAATGAAAATATGTTACAAAGAAATATATTGGCCAGGGTCCTTGAGTTTTAGAGCTAAAAATGTGATATGGATAAGAGTAGAACTTGATTTATGGTCTGTGGATTTCTAGTCCAGGGCTCCTTCCATTTACTATTTCACCTAGCATGTTTTAAAATGAATCCAAAATTATAGAACAAAAGAAACATCCTTAAAAGTTTTTTTAAGTTTTTTTTATAGTTAGATATTAATAGTCCTCTTCTAACCATGATTCTTTGTGTAAATTGTATACATATATAAATTTTAATATTGTCATTGTAATATTTTGTAACGAATTTGACAAGTATTAAATTTATTCCTCTTGGGTCCAGCCAATGCTGTGGTGGTTAAGGTGGCTGGATCCCACATGGCCTACGGCATGGTTAGTTTCCAGACCTGGCAGCTTGAAAAATACAGTGGGCATATGCGCATGCATACCCAAAATCCCCAGAGGAGAATGGAGAAGGGATTGCCACATGGCCATCCACCTAAGGGGTGCTTTCTCACTCTCTGTTTTTCTCTGTCTCTAGTGAGCACCCATACCCTATAACAAATTTCTTTAAATAATAAGAAAATAAAAATTACTCTTCTTGTGTACAGTAGATTAAAAGGAAACATAAACATTGCTAGAATCTTAAGATTTTCACTTCACTAAAAATCAAACATTTCTCTTTGATTATCTGAGAGGGAATTTCAGGTAAAGGTATTTACTGAGAAATATTTTTAATGCTTTTATCTCTTTAGTAGTAGGAAAGAG